CGCGCAGGCGGGGTTCCCCCTTGGATGCTTTTATTTGCGATACTTCGAAGTAAACATCATAGCAAGGCACAGACGCCGCTGCGGGTTGAGTAGATACGTGATGGCTCCGGAGTGCCCCCCCGCTACCCTTAACTCTATGTAGGCTACCTGGTCAGACGTCCCCTAACTAACTCACACCGTATCAAAAAATACAAAGAATCCGAACGGTTTGTATCAAAAACCACGTCGAGGCGAGGAGGTGCGCAGTCCGAGGGATAGTTCTTAAATTACTTAAACATCATCATAGTAAACAATAACGAGCAGGGTTCTGGCTCAATGTAATAATAATAAAAAAAAATAATGGTATAGAAGATAATTATATTACACGAAGCGCACATGGGGCAGGGAACGAGGGAGGGAAGAGAGAGTCAATGTGACCACATGGAGAGATGCGGCTCCCAAGTGACGGGCGATGCAGAGCCGTGGCGGGGGGACAGCCGCCGGCACCCCTGCGGGCTGCGCTCCCTCCTTGGGGCTCCCAGTGACCCCGTCGGTTGGGCAGCCCCGGCACCGAGCCGACGCCGTCGGGATGGTTTAACTCTGGCTGATGCCATAGGCAGGGGGGTGACACTGTGGGTTTTCCCCTTCTGGGGATGGTGCCAGCCTGACACCCGAGGTCCCTGCCAGGATGAGCCGCCAAGCACCGGGCCCAGCCACACCCACCCGTGGGCCAGCTTCCAGCAGCCAGCGAGTCCCGAAGGGGCACCGGGCCCTCCTTAACAAGGCCTTGAGCTGGGCTCACCTGAGAGGACAGGGGCTATGAAATTCTCTTTCGGGACGATTCAGGTCCAAGACATTTCATTAAATTGCCTTTTGGAAAATGAGGTTGTTATTCAGGCAATTAAAGGAAAATCAGCACAACTTAGAGCTTGAACCTGTCCCGTCTAATGCAGAAGACCCTGGATCTGCCGGCACAGTCCTGATAAGGATGTTTTGCTGAGATGGCATTATGAATTAAAATGAGTAAAACAAAGGCAGAATGAGAAGAGAAAAAAGAAGCCATAAATAGAAGAAGAAAGGAAGTGAGACAGGGAAGGCAAGGCTGGGGCTCCAGGAAGAGGCTGAGGCAGGGCACACTCAAAGGGAGACAGCTCATCTTAAGGAAACTGCCACTGCAGAAAGTGCTCCTTGATCCTCAGGAGCTGGACAAGCTCCAGTGAGGATTCTCGCCCTGCTTTCCCTTTCCACCTCTCTGGTCTGGCAGAGAGTTAGTGCTTAGGATGCAATGGCAGGGTCTGTTGTTTTGTTTTGTTTTTGTTTTTTTTTCTCTTTTTAGATTTCCCTTACAAATAGAAGTTAATGGAAAGCAAAGTCCATCCCAATAAATCAACAGAGTATTTCAAAGATTCACCCCATCCCCAGCCTGTATGTTGAGTAAAAACCCATCAGCAAAAAAAAAAAAAAAGAAACAACGAAAAGGGTTCTTCTAAGTCTTGAGAGACTTCGAGTGATTGTTCTGCAAGCTGCTGTTGGGACCCTCCATGCCACAGGTCTCACTGTGTTCGCAAAGAGCCAAGTCACTTCTGCACTCTTTGCATTTCAGGCTTTCTTCTTCCACCGTAGTGTTCGTCTCGCCGTTATACCCCTCGTGCCCATTCTCACTCATCTCCCTTTGTAACTTCAGCCCTTCATCTTCCTCCTCTTCTTCCTCCTCCTCCTCCTCCTCCTCCTCCTCTTCATCTTTGACTTTATGAACAATGAAGAGGTGTCTGTTCAGAGAGATGTGGGAGGTGTAGCACAAGCCACAGAAGGAGCACTGGTAGGTGGAGCTGTCCGTCTTGTGCCGAGGTATGTGTTCCTGAAACTCAGTGCTGACGTCTGTCGCGAAGCCGCATTTAGCACATTTCCAGTGTGCTTTCAGTTTTTTGGCTGACGGTGCGCCTGAACCCACAGCGGTCTCTGCCTGACCCAGCTCATCCATTGCCATCCTCTTTGGAGATTTTGCCTTAAAAAAAGAAGATTAAAACGTTACTTTATTGTTTGAGCCCACAGAACAGTAAGTGCTAAATGCCAGACCTGAGGGTGAACACGCATCAGTGCTTTGAGACAAACTAACCAGAGCCCAGGGTCTCCTGTTGCGTTGCCTTTCCTACCAGTACCTAAACACCTCACCCCGATGTGCAGGATCTCAACTGTTGTCCTGCAATGTGAGGTGGAAAATCTGGAAGGCGTTGGCTGGGCAGAAACATGATGGGGAAATAGAATGTGAACTTGGTGTGGGAGGAAGGAGACTACAGAGCAGGAACATGAGGGTGCCAGAGCCTTGGGAGCAGGCTGCCCACAGAGTTTGTGGAGTCTTCTCCTCTAGAAACTAGATTCCAAACCTGCTTGGATACCATCCTGGGCAGCCTGCTCTGGGTGACCCTGCTGGAGCAGCGGGGTTGAACGAGATGATCTCCGGAAGTCCCTTCCAACCCCTCCTGTGCCAGGATTCTGTGACACATGAGGGACGCAGGGACGGTCATCATCCCAGACAATGTTGCTTAGATTGAAATCTGAACATTTTCCCTCCACTCAAGCTTTTTCTTCATGGCATCTCTCAGGAACTGGTCCCCTCTGTTCTATAATCCTGTAGCGAGCTTCTCTTCCCATAAGGACAACTCACTTGCAAACGTCCCTTCATGGGCTTTTGCTATCTCCTTATCCAGCAGCACTGAACAGTCATTGTTCAGCATACAGCTTATAGGCTGGTACATGCACACCCAGCCAGAGCCAGCCAAGCCACAGCCTGAGCCAGGTGCCCAGTATGTCAGCTCTTGGGGGAAGCAGCCACTAGCTCATGGAAGTGAATTCTTGAGTTACCTCACAGCATAAATACAGAGGGCAGTCAGTCTTGGCTGTGATCCCTCAGTGCTAGGGTACAGATGAACAATAAACTGTACTGGTATGGAAAATGTGTGTCTATTTTGAAAGCAAATGGAGCAAAGAAGCCAAATCAGCCAACCCTCTGCTCCAGCCCAACCCAAAATAAAATTAATTGAACAGTTACATTTGCTGAAAAAAATTACACAGGCCTATGTAGTCAATAGGTACAATTTTGTAAGGGAAGGCCTGGTAAAATCATAACTCTAGCCTGTAACTCAGGCTAAGCAGAGAAGGGCTCTGGGAGAGTGACTCAGCTGGAATAGAGGAGGTGAGGCATGCTGTGTGTTTGCACCGTGGTGTTTGGTCAAAGTGGGTTATGCCTAAAAAGTATGTAAACCAATGGTCGACTAATGGCATAAGAAGGCTGGGTTTTTGTACATAAAGTTCCTTCTTTGCACCTGCCTGGGGACTCCGTGCTGCTCCATGCTGCCATACCAACACAGGCCTACTTAGGAGGAATGCAGTTCTTGTAAGTAATGGGTCTAATAAGTGTTTTAATTTTATTTTTTTTTTTTTTTTTTTTTAGCTAGCAGAAAAAAACAAGGGAGAAAGAGGAAAAATGTACCAGGCTCATGAACAGAGTGGCAGGAGAAAACAAGGGTAATAACAAACCTAAATCAGGCCTGGTTACAAAGGAGACTGAAAAAAAGGCCAGTAAAAAGCACAGGGCCACACGTTCAAGAGTATCTTGAAAAATGCAAGATAATGTTGCCCAGGTGCTGCTGCAGCTCAGCTGCACTTCCTGTTCCTGTGCTGATCCTGCCACTGGCAGAGAAGCAAACTGGATGGAGTTGGGAGGAGGGAAAGGAGGATCTGCCATATGGATGAGAGGGCTTGGCTGCTGTGAGGCTGCAGCTCAGCATAACACCCGAGTGAACACCTATTCGCCAGGTATGTTTATTTTTTAATGAAAAGAAATCAGTTACTTCTGCTGTGTCTCTGTCTGGAGCTTTTGCTTTGGCCATCTGGGATAAGTCTGGGGTTTTGATGCCGTGCATGAGGCTGATGTGATTCTCCAGCATGAACGGCTGAGGAAATGTCTGATTTTCATCTGTGCAGTACCTTGGAAATACAAGAAGGAATAAAATTTATTAGAGGAAATGCCCAGCTGTTCATTTCCACCCAAACAACTCTTTGTTATGTGCCAAACCAGTAGGCGTCATTGGAGACAGATGCTGGTGAACAACGTACTATTGGGTTACCAAAATATGCAGCAAATCATAATTTTAATACTAAAATATTACCCCTGAGATAAATCTAGAACCATTTAGAATTTACCACGGTAAGCAAGAATGAGAATGGAAGCAGAGAACGTCTTACAGGACAGTACTAAATAGATGCAGAGACTGGTAGAGGTTAGGCCCACTGTGAGACATGCTATATGAATACAAGATAACTGATCAATATAGAAAATGCATGTGAGAAAAGTAGCTCTCAGATGAGAGACCTATGCACAGAGGGACCTCATGACTTGTGTAACAGCAAAGAGGTCTGCAGGAAAACCAGCTTCTGCGCCCAGTGTTCCCAAGCATCAGTGCAGCATCCCATCCACAAGACCACCTGTATCATAACACAATTCAAATTCTCACAAAACTGCTGAACTTCCAACTTTAGTAACAATACCCTAAGCAGAAGCACTCATGAACACTTTGTATGTAACTATTCATGTTAGAACTTGGTAGGATTCACGAGCTCCAGAGGGCATGGTGGACCTCTCAAAAGTAGATGTGAAGGGGATGTGCCACCTGCTATAACTTTCACTCCAGGATGACTGAAGTCTACCAGAAATAAGTGCCAGGTCTTGCAGACACATAAACCACTTCCCTGCAGCATGATGAAGTACACAGAGGTCTCTATTAGCAACCAGGAAACCCAAAATTGACTTTTTACTCTTGCGCTGCCCACCAGTGTGAGATGGGGAAGGTCCATCAGTTACACATCGACCTCAGCCGTGAGGCAAGGAACACCAGGTTCTCTGAAACACACAAACTGCAGTTGAAATGTAGGCAGCAAGAGATGAAAAGCAACAGAGGGAAGATGAAGAGTCTCTGGGCAACAAAGACATCTTCCAAAAGAAGATTCCTACTGATCTTCCAGTAACTAGATGAAAATTAAACAACAGTCAGTAATGATGTGAAAGTGCAGACATGCTCATTGAACACTTCTGTTTTTTAACAGAAAGTGCTTAGATGATAAATCAATATTTAATAATGATGGAATTCTTCTCCCTCATGGAGGAAAGATGAGAGGTTATTAAGTGGTATCAAAAATAAACATGTTGAAAATCAAGCTTTCCAGACAGTTTGTACTTAAAACTTGAAAAATAGGAGCAAGTTCTCATAATAATAACCAAGCAAATTATGAAAGAAAATAGAAAAACATCAGAGTGTTTTGCAATTTGTCCTAATTTGCAGTTCTTTCCATGTGAGCAGGGAAAGATGTTTTCCTAACTTGAATTACTCCAAGCTTGGCAGGAGGGTCTTCAAGCAAGACCTCCATCACTGGTTTCTCCCTACAGAAGGCAGAGGAGCTAAGCAGGGCAGGGGCAGAATGGGAAGTCACGGCTTGAAATGTTAGAAGCCAGAGGGAGGTCACCTACAAGACAAACGTGCTGGAGTCACAACGATACTCAGTTGTCTGATCAAGTCTTCCTTCATGCTTCTCATGGAAATCCAGGAGAAGAGGGTGACACGAAGTTAAGGCATCAAAACCTCAGAAGGGAGTAACAAGTGAGACTGATACAAACATCCTGGTGGGAAGAAGGAAGACAGACACCAGCAACCAAGGGAAAAGAAAAGAAGCAGCAGAGATGTGCTGCCTTACAGGGCGCAGAAAGGAGCTGAGGAGGATTCAGAGAGACAGGAGGATTTGAACGCAACAGTCACGGAGGAGAGTTTTGGAACAGCTCTTTAGACAAACTAGGAAGGATCAAAGGGGAGACTGAACAGAAGACCTTGCATCCAAGCAGAAAGCAGCTGTCAGAGACACAGGGACAAGTATTTCAAGGAAGAGGTTTCATTTGAAGAGTGCTGTGATGTCAGTAAGTCTGCCACTATAGTGATTAAAGACAGCACAACCACTGTCCAATTAAGACTTCATCAGCAGACTCTGAGAAGGAGCAACTACAAGCTTAAGAATTAAACACAACCACAATTCACTTTAATCTCTAGCTGTGTCTTCTCTGCTGTAAACATGGCATGACCATGGACACTTGGGTGAAGCTGTGGATCCGTAACTGTGTGTTGCATGGAAAAATAATAGAAAAAAATGGACTCCAGGGCCTGTATAAGGTAATGCACAGAAGAGGCTGGCACGTCCCAGCTTATTGGGTATTTCTCTACAAATCCTTCTTCCCACCTAAGCCTTATGTTCATTTTGATTCTGATACACTCTACCTTGAAAACAATCATTCCAGAGAGAACAGATTTATACAAATCTGGTGCATGTAACTCCAAACGCACAAACTTAAAGCAGAATGAAACATAATGGCAGCCAACATTTCATCTTCTCCAGAGGTTCCAAGTCAAAGCATGGTTACAAGAAATGGAAAGATTAGAAGTCCTGGCTGAAAAATGCATCAGGAATGTATTCCTGTCAGGCCCCAGCAGTGATGCCAGGACTGTATCTATTTACTAAAAGCTACTGTGGCTCACTAGGCAGTCCAAAGAAATTAAGTACCTGAGAGATGTACTCTTCAACACAGGCTTCTAGTAACTTAAGTGCAGTAAAGTGACAGCCTGCTCTTCAGAAACACTTGTATTAAACCAGAATTTTAATTAAACAATTCTCCCAGCCTACCTCACTGCAGACATCCCTTCCAACACAAATGTTCTTTAATTCTGTTTCAGAAGGATGTCTCAGGATGAGACAGGAAGTAAGTCTGCACAGTCACTTTGGTGTACAACTTAATGCTGCAACACTAGAAGAGAATGGAGCAGTTGTAGAGGCAGCTTTGTAAGCACTGGGCTTTGTCCTAAACTGCGATCATACCCACAGTTAAAACAGGCTCACTGGCAATTTTCTGCTGTAAACATGGCATGACCATGGACACTTGGGTGAAGCTGTGGATCCGTAACTGTGTGTTGCATGGAAAAATAATAGAAAAAAATGGACTCCAGGGCCTGTATAAGGTAATGCACAGAAGAGAACAGTTAATTTTCATTAACTGCTTATTTATACAGCTCATCTGAAATCTCCAAATTCATTTGCCAACTTTGAGGTGAATCTTCCCAAGCAAATCTAGCAGTCTTAATGCTCCACTTCCCTGCAGCTTGGGCAATCAGTTCTTCCTGTGTAAAGCAGTGGCAAGACCCAGTGCCCTGCTTCATTAGGATCTAACACTCCTTTTGTGCCATTTTTTCATGTGGAAGGCAAAAGAGTGATTCATGACTATGCAAACCACGAAGTGGCGGAAGATTGGCCCAATATTTTCTTGGCTGTTCTACAGCAGAACAGCTTGTGGAATACCACTGTCCTTTTGAACCTGCAGATCTCAAATCAAACCTTACCCTAAATTTCCAAAGGGCACTGTGCAGTCAAAAGCACAGTCAAAAGACTTATTTTAGCCTCTCGTGTGTAACATACTTTTCTCCTCGCTCTCCCTCAGTAACTTACAGCCTGGAGTAGATAGGAGCAGACACAAACTATTACAGAGGGCTTCCAAACATGAAGGATTAGCCTGTTCCTGAAAACAAATTTTAAAAGTGGCATTCAGTACGTACCAGCAAGTATAAATTTTCTTTGCTGTGTCGTGATTATTGCGGATATGTCTACGCAGACTGTTGGAGGCATTAAATGAGCGTTCACACTGTCGACAGGGGTATCTCTTCATAGACTAGCAGAAGAACAGAAAGATCTTTTAATAACAGGGAGATGGAAGGCACAGACTGGATTCTAAAATTCCCATGCTCTTCATCTGGACCCTACCTCTCAGGTGCAAAAAATCCTACCAGTGATAAAGATCACTGAGGTTGCAGGGTCCCATGTATACTCAGCCCAACAGCTGGCTGCTAGCACTGGTCTTATAAAAATCAGGACTAGCTAAAGCATGTGCTTGATTTTATTGTTTTGAATAGGGATTGGATTAGCTGGTTCTGTGGGCTCATTTTGCTACAGGACCCTCTGGAGAATTAGTTCAGCAGAAGGTCCCTTCTGCCTCAAAAGAAGACAGGACCCCACTGTGAAGTACAAATTCACTTACTCTTCTCTCTTCTCATAATTCAGCACAATAAAAGGGCAAAATATTAAAAAGCATCACACAGTCCCACTTGTTACCCATGTATGATGTCCATGTCCCCCTATGCAACTCTGCCCCATAACTGGCTTCCTCTTTTTCCTCTAGTCCTTCATATAACCTGGATGCATTCAATTTAAAATCTTCTTAAGGCTTGTTTAATGAATACATAGATGTATTGAACTTAAATATTTGGCAAATTTCCTCATTTTATAGAATTGAAATGGGAAAATCCAGCATTCTCACCCTGCCCCATCTTCTCTTGATACTTATCAAGGGAGACAATCCAGAACTTCCCAAGTCAGCTAGAATGTATCAAAGACCACGATCCGTAGTTCCACAGCCTCTGCTCAGAGTACTTGAGAAAGGTGACTCAGTATATCAAACAAGAAGTCCTGATGCCAAAGTACTAAGAAATCTGGCTGCACCTGATGTCTTGGCCTAAGTCCTGCCAGCAAGCAAGGATTAGCTTGGCAGAAGTAGGTCAAGGCAACATAAGGCTTGAGCTGGATGTAACCAAAAAAAATTGACATTTACTGTTCTTATAGCGATTAGCTCTGTTCACTGCATGAGTCTGTAACTCTTCCTCAGACAGATGTAGTGATATCTACCAAACAATACATCACGCAGAGGAGGAACTGTCCTTCACAGTGTAGAAATTTTAAATCAGACTGTTGAACCAGCAACAGGAGAAAACATGACTTTTTATCCACTTACCCCAACGAGCCGAAGAGGAAGCCTGACATTAGATGCAGTGGGAGAAGGAACAGCAAAGAGGATGAGGTATACAGGTTGTGAAGCACACAATCAAGGACAGGAAGTATGTTTACAACAGGCTACAGAATTATTTGGTTTTTGTTCTGGCCCTGAGCTTACTCCTCAGTGAGCTGGCAAACAGATTCTCGGTTTCTTTTCGCCCCAAATATTAATGATTATCAGACTCTTCTGCTAAAAATATCTCTCGTTACCTAGTCATCTGAGTCCTTACCCTTCCATGATTTCTTTTCATGTGGGACACATAGGTTTCCCGATCAGGCATCCACTGTGAACACTCTTTGCAAGTCCAACCAGTTCGTCTCAGTCTGGACTTGGATTCAGGATTATATCCTTCCACCCTCACATCCTTCCTCAGCAGAGGGGAGTGAGAAGTCCCATTGGCTACCAACAGCTCCTTTGGTGTGTTATGAATCTGGTTCCTTGATGACTTCTCAGATTTCTGTTGAAAGTTTGAGAGCTCCTCAGGATTTTGGGGGATGCCATGAACACCCTAAATAGCAATAATAATGGAATCACACTTTAACATTTATATGTAACTCATATTATACACCTTTATTTATAAATAAATAACACGTACTGTTTAAATAAATAATTTAAGCCCCGCATCCTCCAAAACAGTGTGTTGATATATTGCTCCCACTTATCTTCCCATTTCCCCTTGAAGCTGGCTGCAGTGGTTTCCCTGGTAAGAGATTTTCCCAGGAAAAATGAAGCTTCTGTTTATGTTCCCTGCATGACAACAGCAGCTCCTCAGTGCTGCCAGTTTAACATTTTGGATGAGCTCTGAGAACTCTGGTTAAACAGGGAAGATGTAATGGAAGAGAAACGTTAATTGTCCTTATTTCAAGAGCCTAAGTGCTAAAAACACAGAGATTTGGTAAACCCTGAATTAAATCTTCACTGTTTTCTTAGGGGCTTCAAAGCTGCTTCATCTTTGCTCAAGGGATGGGAAGAAACAAACTTTCAACTCCACCAACCCTTTCTTCAATTCCACACTGTCCATTGCTAGTTACATTTTCATGGTTCAAAACTTTGCTCCTGACAAATAAAAGCAAGCATAAAGCCAGAAACCCGCCTTATAAGGAATATGTCTCCAGGCTCTGTGGTTGTTCAGTGGGCCAAAATCCAAAGTCCCCCAAAAAGTTATTTTAACAAAGAAAACTGAACATAAGGAAAATAATCCAGAAACGAAGAGCTGTGGGAAAGCAAAAGCAAGGAAAAGAGCAACATACCAAAGAAACCTCAAGAAACTCCCTTAGGAACAACAACAGCTCATCCACACAAAAGGATAATTTAGAGGTTTAATTGTGCACAGTCATTAATAACGGGTAAAGTTTCAACACACAAAGGCCCCAGGCCTTTGGAAGTTTTTCTGTGGGTTAGACACCAAACAAACTTCAAACCAGAAGGTCTCATCTGAGAAGCCTGTGTGCTTTGCACCTGATGCAGCTGATGTCCGCAGTGGCTCCTTCGTGCAGCAGCAGGGAAGTGACAGCTGCTCCACAGCTCTGCCAGCTATCTAGGGCAACAGGAACAGTTCACCTTTCTCCCCACCTGGGAATCTCGAGTGTTTTCTGAGCAAAGAGGACCTTAGTATCTATTCCTTACACAACTGAGAGGCGAGGGGAAGGAGCACAGAAAAACTGAACTGACTTCTCTGCAGAATCAGTAACAGAAGCCAGACTTTCTAACTAGTACTCTTACACTTTAACGATGGAAAACCAGCTTCTTCACCCTCCATGTAGGCATATATTAGACAGCACCTCCTATAAACTCTACTTTGCACAAAGGAGCAGGATCTGATAGGTGAAGAGATTAGTTAGTGCAATTACTACCCTGCCGCAGCCTTCTGAAATTACCATCTCAAAGACCTCTTGATGACCAAATACAGCCTCGTGGTTAAAAGACAAAAGTTTTCTAGTGGAGATGTCAAGTGTTGATGCACAAACTGCTGCAGGCAGGTCCCTGAGGGGTGGGATTTGCAAATGAGCCCCAACATGCAGTGCACCTCAACTGGAGCCAGTCTTTTAGGGGTAGGGTTGAATGCCTCTTTAAAGGTCCCAGCCTTAATCTCAACTCTATTTTCCTAGCTATAATACAGGAAGATTAGCCATCACTAGCTTCACAGGAGGGCTTCAAATTATAATTCATCACTGAATGCAAAGCATTTCCAGATTTGCAAGTTAAAGGCTTGGGGGAGAGAGCAAAGAAGTAGCTTTGAATGGGTTTTGCTTTTAGGAGAGAGCTAATCAATCATCTTGCTTTTTAAGTGTAAGTATAAACAAAATGAAGTCACTGATTAAAAAAAAAGGTCACTTTTTTTTTTCTTAATCAAAGGGCAATAAGACTTTGCAAGCTTCAGAATGCCACCAAGAAATCTTCCCTGAGGATTTCCACAGTGATGTGGCTAGACACTGCACATAGAAATATGCCAAGACAAGAGAAAAACGTGGTGCTCGCACATTTATGGGATAATCAGATCTGCAAGTCCTCATGCACATCCCACTAGGAACCATCACAAAATGGACAATAATCAGTTTTCCATATGCATAAAAGAGCAATGAATGGTTATTGCAGTGCTAACTGCGAGATGGGCTTTTACTGAGGGAAGGCAAGTTTGAAGCTCTCTCCAGACCACCATTTCGACCAAGTTTTGGGGCTGCACACAACTATCCATTTCAGACCATCTTCTGGAGCAGCCTGAGCAACTTCAGCCCATTTCCTCTTGTCCTGTTGCTTGGTCCTTGGGAGAAGAGCCCAACCCCCACCTGGCTCCAGCCTCCTGTCAGGGAGTTGCTGAGAGCCAGAAGGTCTCCCCTGAGCCTCCTTTGCTCCAGGCTCAGCACCCCCAGCTCGCTCAGCCGTTCCTCACCAAACTTGTGCTCTAGACCCTCCCCCAGCTTCATTGCCCTTCTCTGGACCTGCTCCAGCTCTTTGATGTCTTTCCTGAACAGAGGTGCCCAAAGATGAGGCTTCCACTTATTCAACCAATTTTCCTCACGCCATTGATATAAACTGTCATTGAACTCAAAAAACAGGACCACGTATCAGCAAGTGGTGAGTTACCTACCTTAACGTGCTGCATTAACTGCTGTTTCTGCATATACACCAGCTGACACTCTGGGCACTTAAACACTCCCACTAACAGCTTGTTGGTGTTCTGCTGGAAGTGCTCGTGGAGCAGCTTTTTCTTGTTAAAGACTGTCTCGCAAGAGCATTTGTAGATCAGCCTGGAACAACTGAAAAAAAAGTAACTCAGTCTCTCTTTCTTAGTTATCTGCAGAATACAGTGGAAAAAGTTATCTCACCAACTTCAGAAAGGGATGGGCTTCAGAGGAGCACTGTGCTCCCATTGTCAACACACACCCACATGGACAACTGAACCATTAACTCAACTGGGAAGAACAACAAAATGCCTCAGGGACATACCACATCTTTCTAAAAATAAGTTTACTTCTATGCATATGCATAACTACCTACGTGTGTGTTGGTAAGCGCAGACAGATGGGAGCAAATGCAAAAGTATTATGAGCTAGCTACATGTTACTTTCCATCCCACCTTTCCACAGCTTCTCCCTCAAAGCCACATTTCTGGCACTAGCTCAAGCCTTGGAGGGCAAAGCTACAGAGTGGAAAAACCAGGAGATTTCTCTGTAGCAATTTTAGGGGCAATGCTGCATGGCATAACTCTCCTCTGGCTTTTGAGTGGCAGATGCAGCAGTTGCTGGAGCCATCTACCAAGAGGTGCCACTGTGGGTCCTGCTGGACAAAGAGCTGACAACCGACTTCCTTTAATCGATGTTCAGCCTTAGGCTCCCTGCCCAAACTCCTCTCACCCTATACAGGAGACCATGTCCTTACCCAGGAGAGCACACTGTGGCCAGGAACAGACTCCCGCCAGCAGGCAAAGCGGCAGATCTTGTCATATGAAGACAGAAGCCAAAACCAGAAAAAAAAAAATGGGAAGGAAAGGGGAAAAGCTGAAGCCATCCAGCAAAGGAGAAGAAGCGATAAACCCAAAGTACTTACTGAGTATTCTTGTGAGGCTCTGCTGGGTGCTGACTGGTCATGTGAGCCATGGTGCTGTCAGCTGACTTGAAGGCCATCGGGCAAAAAGAACACTTGTGGAAGACTTCGCAGTGTTTCTCGTGGATGTGCACTTTCAGCAGGGCAAGGGTCATGAAGACGACTCCACAATGGATGCACCTGGGGGACAAACAAAGAGAAAGCTGACTTACAGCCACCAGCATTGCTTCCAACACACACGCCAAGCAGTGCAGATGGAGGCGAGCACCAGGCTATGGCAGGTCCTCACTTGGGTCTCTTCAGTAGCAATGTTGAAGAGTGAAGGAGAAATACAATACAGGAGTTCACAAGCTGGGCAGATCTCAAAACGAGAGTGGCAAGCAAAGATCTATAAAAGAAGCCTTCAGAAACTAAAATGACCCAGAAAGAACAGAGGAAGATGTGGTTCAGCAAAGTCCTAGACCTGTATCTGTTGGAAGGCCAATTCCACTACAGGAACAAGTGAAGAACTAAAGTAAAAGTATCAGATAAGATCTCCACATAGCATAAGCAGCATAAATACCAGTTAGCCCTCAGTACAAAATAAAAAGAAAAAGAATATTCAGCTACAAAATCTTCAGTAAACCTGTACAATTTTACCTTGCAACTCCACTGAGCACTAGAAAATGACACCAACAGCAAAGATACTGAAATTCATAGAATCATCTAGGTTGCAAAAGACCTTTCAGATCATCTGGTCCAACCATTCCCCAGCACTACCAGGTCCCCACTGACCCATGTCCCTCAGCACCACATCTCCATGGCTTGGAAACCCCTCCAGGGATGGGGACTCCAACACTGCCCCGGGCAGCCTGGCACAGGCCTGGACAACCCTCAAAGGGGAAGAAATTGTTCCTCAGGTCTAACCTAAATCTCCCAGGGGCAACTTCAGCCCATTTCCTCTTGTCCTGTTGCTTGTTCTTTGGGAGAAAAGCCTGACCCCCACCTGGCTCCAGCCTCCCGTCAGGGAGCTGTGGAGAGCCAGAAGGTCTCCCCTGAGCCTCCTTTGCTATGGGCTAAACAATCCCAGGTCCTTCAGCTGCTCCTCACCACACTTGGGCTCTAGACCCTCCCCCAGCTTCATTGCCCTTCTCTGGCCACACTCCAGCCCCTCAAGGGGGTTCTTGGAGTGAGGGGCCCAAAACTGAACCCAGGATTCGAGGTGCAGCATCCCCAGTGCTGAGTACAGGGAGACAATCCATGCACTAGTCCTGCTGGTCACACTAGTGCTGATCCAAGCCAGCTACATAATTTCTAATACGAACAGCAACAGGAACACCCAAGGAACTGATTAAGCTCATTAAAATCATTAAGACACAGAAGATGCCTGGAAGCTGGGAGGATGGTCCAGGAGGAGAGGGAGGAAGCAGCAGAGGTTGCACATGGAGCCGAAGGGTTCTTCTTAGCAGCTGAAACACAGGCCCAGGGCCAGGAGATCCAGGGTCACCCTGCTGGTCCTACCCATCCTGTCCTTCCAACGCAAGCCTTTGACAGGCCTTGCCTTCTACTCCCCCAAGATGGCACCAACCAGCAGCGTTACTGTATTTAACACTCCTCCTGAGAACTTACCCTTGTGCTGTGCTCTGAGAGAAGCCACACACCACCACTACAAGCGCAGACGAGGATGTAGACACCTGCCCTTGCCGGCCTCAGCCACACCAGACGCAGGGTTTACCATCCCCCCAGGAGCACCTACACCGATCCAGGACTAGAACAGCCTCTCCTAAAAAGGTTCTGTCAAAATGACTAACAGTGGAGAAGTTCAGCTGGGCAATCCAGGGAGCCAATACTTGTGCTAGCAGGATGTGAGAGACACGAGAGAGAACTTCCTCCGGCGAGCCTGGGGTCAAGAGGCCTTATAAATATCTTTTTTAATTCATTCTGAGATCTGCTGCTTGCCCGAGGAGCTATTGCGTTTGCGTGTTCAGTAGTGGACCCTGCTGTCACAGACAGACCCCAGATACAGAGCGACTGGAAGAGTTCCAAGGCTGTTTATCAAAACCAAACAAGCCGTTGGATTATCCTTCCCTCTGAACCAGCCTCCCAACAGTGTTTAGGAAACAAGCCCACACTTTGAAGTTACACTTCAAAAGATTGTTAGGCACGTGCCAGCACAAAGGAGCCAAACCCTCTCCCCTCAAAACATGCACAGAAAAGCTGTTTTCTTAGATTTGGAGAGGGAAGTGGGGACAACAGCTGGTGTCATCTTTGGGGAAGAAGAGAAGAGAAGGCTCCAGGGAGACCTTCAGGGGCCCTTTCAGGACTTCAAGGGGCCTGTCAGAAAGCTGGGGACAGACTTCTGAGCAGGGCCTGTTGCGACAGCACAAAGGGTGACAGTTTGAAACTAAAAGGGGGGAAATTCACACTAGATAGAAGGAAGGAATTTTTGATGCTGAGGGTGGTGAGACCCTGGGCAACGTTACCCAGAGAGGTGGTTGCTGCCCCATCCCTGGAACCATTCCAGGTGAGGTTGGGTGGAGCTATGTTGGCCAAACGTGCTCTAGCTGTAGATGTCCCTGCTCACTGCAGAAAAGTCTCTTCCAACCCAAGCCAATCTATGATTCTATGATTCCATGAATAAATTCCCTAAGTATAAAATGAACAACAAATGCTAATCCTGACAGTAAGGTCTGGCTGGTACATACAGGAATATCCCACGGGCTTCTTCCACAAACACTCCATGAACTAATAAGAGGTGGTTCTGCATTATGCTCGGTTTCACTTCACTTAGAATTAGGGATGAAGTTAAGTACTAACTCAGGGTCAAACGATCATAAGTTAATTTAATTTACAGTAAATGGAAGTTTAAACAACAGCCACTCTGTAATCAAGAATCCCAGTGCCAGAAGGACCAAGTTTGATAAAGTAAACTAATTAGCAGAACAAAGGGGATGGAGGATGTCAGAGGCTTGCCATGTAATTTCTGCAAATTGCAAATCTCCTCAGCACAGATGAATAATTTGCAAAAGAAGACTCTTGGATAGCCTCAGGCCAAGGAGCGGTGGTGTAAATGTCTTGGAAAGCATCCTGCACGAGGAGATAAAACTACAAGATGTTGTCTTAACCCTGTGAATATTTCCTATGCTCCTCAATATTTCCAGCCCCTCAACTCTCCAGATGGCCCCAAACAGGAAACCGAGTCCCAGGTCAGCGGGACTGATCAACTTCCAAGCTGGAAGGTGCTTGGAAAAGGTGGGGAGTGCCATTTGGGAGTAAAAGTAGAAAGGAGCACTTAGAACAGACTTACTGATTTTAACCTGCAAAAGACCTTTCTCATTTTCAGTACAATCACTAGCCATGACTGAAACCCAAATAAAATAGTCTTACTCCAAACTTAATTGAATGTTTTGGAGTGTCAGCAGAAAAGGAGATGGAGTAAGGACTGATCACAAAAACAAAACTAAACTTATGTATCAGAAATTCAAGAAAAACAGGGATATAGTGAGAAGAAGCAAAAGTCAACTTAATCCTAGGAAGGATTTAAAAGAACTCCTCAGCTTTTCAGCTCTGTGAGTTACAAAGGTGAAAGAAAAGAAGTAAAGTTGCTACATGACAACAGGGCAGATGCCATGGATTATCTAGATACGGTTCTGCAACTACAATTTAGTTCTTGTGTTTTCTACAGTGCCAATGATATGAGACAGGCGGTACAACTACGATGGCACAGCAGAAATTCACCTGTCTGCTGGACTCAGTTTTCACAGATGAGCTTGAGCAGATGTGAACTTGAGAAGTTAAGGAAATTTAGCTTCCAGAGAAGCTGGGTAAAGCTAAAAAATCTGTACGTATTATTCCTGAGTTCTGTTTTGGTTTAGATCTTCATTAACGTCCCTGGCACAGAAAGCAAGTAATTGCTGATGACATCTGCAGACGGACAGAAGCGCTTGTTTTCAAACAGCCTGAGTATCACAGTCATTTCATTTGCAATGGAATTCATTCTTTGTTGTGGGCTGTGCCCCCTTAAATCAGATCCTATATAAAAACCCTTATCTGCATATAATCCAATTCAGTATCGGTTTCTTATGTGTCTCTTGTCTTTGCAGTTGAAAGAAAAAGCCCTTGAAAACTTAAGTGAGATTTCAGAACAAACCACACAGTGGAAGCTTCCTGAATTTGCAGACACTTTAAAAGAACAGCTCCAAGAAGAGAAATTGCCCTATTCATTTTACATTTCAAAGTATTTAATGGCTATCAGAGAAAAAAATGGAGCTTTACGGAATTTTAAAAGGTCTTAGGACTTAGTCTCACCTCCCAGGCAAATCATCTTTGTCTTAGGAGCTGTGCTGCAGCTCAGGTGACCTAAACATGCCAAGGAGGAAATACTTGTAGGGAACAGTAATGTCATTTATGAAAGCAGTCAATCTGATCAGAGAAAACACAACACATGCACATACACACCAAAGCACTCAGAACATCGGGAACCTTCCTCCAGCCATCTCAGTTCATGAGAAGTGTTTGGAGAGAGCATACACGAAAATAATCTACGCCCTTCTCGTGAGGGCGCACAACCTCAGTCCACTACAACTGACATAACTGTAAGGGCAAACCTTAAGGAGACTTAGAGGATTAAGATCTGCTATCTTTGTGCTGTAAATATCAATCCTGAGACGCCCGTCTGCAACTTGAATTCAACACAAATTCAACACCTTTCAGCTTAAAGCTACCTCAAGATCATTCCTACTCTCAGAAACCTTCTCTTAAATCCATTAAGTAATTCCCCATTTCAAACGTGTTTTGTCACGCAGAAAACCACACTAGGCCCAGGCTACATCCTCTTTCATTTCTGCTGTGAGGAGTAGATGTTTCCAAAGCTCTACATCCCAGTTTCCCTCTCAGCACAGAGCCTCTGGAGCTGCACAAACCTGAACCCGACTTTGCGGGAGTAATGCAGGCAGTTCTCCTTGACGTGGGTTTGGAAATAGGCGGAGCGGCAAACAGCCCCGCACTCTGGGCAGCAGTATGGAGACTTGTGAGCGTGGATCCTCTGGTGAGCACAGTAACTGCACTGGTTGGGCAGCATCATCTGGCACACTTGACATGTCTGATGGAAGAAAAGTTATGTTAGTTAGTTATTCTCTATTTGATTTTACCCCTCCACCACCCTAATTCACCCGAGAAAACTTTTAAGTTTAGAGGAAGCTGCAGCACATTCCTCTAGTGTTAGCATTAACTGAACAAAGCTCTTCGGCTAAGCCTCCTGATCATCCTGATCATCTTTCTCCACAACAACCCAAACAAATTCCACAATTAGCCATTCCTGATGACAGTCTCCATTCTTGAACCATGTCCTCTGTGGTTTATTTCCTTTATCTCCCCCTAAAAAAAGGAAAACAAAGTCTTTCACCTCTCAGCTCTGAAGATATTTTCCTTGGTCACTGCTTTCATTTCCACATTAAAGCGCCTGAGAAGGAATACGCTTTTCTCAATAAGTACCCACCACGCGCCAGCATCACCTCAAATAAGCAGGAAAACCCCGTTTACACCCCAACTCAAAGCCCGTCCTGCAGTCCTGACATGCAGCGACTTTCCCCACCAAAACCACAGCTGTCACTTCCAAAATTTCTTTGGACCAGATCAAACTTGAACTTTCAAAGACTGCAAACCACATGTGCTATGATACCCTTGTAGAAACTTCTTGAAAACTAGAAATGATGCAAAGACTCTTTCTCTCCCCGTTTTTGCACCCTTTATGAAATCCATTGTTTCCTCCAACCCTTAGAAAGGCCACACTTACTATCAACACCACTTTGCAGAAGCATTTACTTATAGCAAGTTTTTTTATGTGGCTGTATCATCCCAGTTTCAACAGCCACCAAACCTCTGTTTCCTTTCACAGGTCTCTCGACTATTCTGTATTCCTTCAAAGCCCAAAAGCAGCAACTCTCTGTAGGATGCACATTACATGATGCTTCAGAAGGAGCAGCGC